GATAGCCTTGAACTCTTGGTTCTTGAGTCTACAGATGTGGCTGTACAACCCCCCACCCCTCCCAGGGTTAGGGTAGAACCAAAGACTAAGCATGCTCAGCAACAGTTGTAGCACTTACTGAGCCATTCCTCCAGTCCTTATCCTCCTAGCATGATTGTCTAGGCCTCTTCTGACCCAGCATTTCCCCTGCTAGGAAAACATCCAATAGAGATGTTCACTGCAACTAATAACTCCAAATAACCCAGGTGTTCACTGATGGCAGAATGAACACTCAGTGACATCTCCATGCTGGAGTATCACATAGCAAGGAAAATGAGTAAATTCTTGAACTAATGGTGTTGAAAGAATAACAGTGCTGAACTCAAGCAAAAGCTAAAGAGTATACTCTGGGTGAGTCCATTCATATAGAGTTCTAAACCTTGCTGTGTGTGAGTCACACTCAAAACCTAGCACTTGTGAATCTGAAGCAAGAGGTTTCCACGAGTTCAAGGGCAGTCAGGCCTGTACTGCAAGACCTTGTGTCAAAGAATAAAAAGGAAAGACATGAAAAAAAAAAAAAAAAAAAGTAAAAAGTTCAGAACCAAGCAAATGAAGATGGTACGAGTCAGGGGTCTGGGGTTGGAGAGACTGCTCAGGCATGAAGGGCGTGCACTGCTTTTGCAGCAGACCAAAACCGGTTCAGTTCCCAGAACCCGACAATTACCAACCACTTGTAACTCCTGCTCTAAGGGATCCGGCATCTGTATCCACTTGCACACAAGTAGTACACACACATGCATACTCATACACTTGAACACACATACACTCATACACACAATTAAAAAATAGTAAAAAAGGGCTGGAGAGATGGCTTAGGGGTTAAGAGCAATGACTGCTCTTCCAGAGGTCCTGAGTTCAATTCCCAGCAACCACACGGTGGCTTACAACCATCTGCAATGAGTTCTGGTGCCCTCTTCTGGCCTGCAGTCTCTGTATACATAATAAAAACAAATCTTTGAAATAAAAATATTTTTTTTAAAAAAGTCAGGGAATCAGTTTCATTCAGAGGGGCTAGTGACTGAGTAAGGACATAAAGGGGCCTTTTTGGAGATGGCTTCCTTTGTTTTGTTTTAGATGGGAGACTGTTGTGCCCTAGGCTGGCCTTGTATTTGGTATGTAGACAAAGCTGGTCTTAAATTTCTGATCCTTCTGCGGATGCCTCACAAGTGCTGGGATTATAGGTGTGTACTAAATAACCAGCCTTTTTTATTTATTTGTTTGGTTTCATTTGGTTTATTTCCCCACTCAACGCCAGGGTTTCATTTGTTTTAGACAAACGCTTTAGCAACTTTGTAGCCCAGGCTGGCCTTGAACCTTTGATCTTCCTGATCACTGTGTTCCCTATTTAAAATGTATTTAAAATGTAACCCTCTGTGCATCCCTGCGTGGGTGTTCCCTCCCCCTCCCCCTCCCCTGTGTGTGTGTGTGTGTGTGTGTGTGTATGTGTGTGAGTGTGTGTGTATTATACGCTTGTGTGAGAGGGTGTCCATAGATGCCAGAGGCATTGCCTCTCCTAGAGCTGTAGTTTCAGCTGTGTTAGCTGCCACATGTAAGTGCTAAGAACTAAACTTGGGTTTAGGGGTATGTTACCTTAACTGCTGAGACATTTCTCCAGCCCCCATCCCAGATTTTTATTTATTTAGATTTATTTATTGGTTGTTAGAGAAAGTTTCTCTGTGTAGCCCTGGCTATTCTGGAACTTACTCTGTAGACCAGGTTGACCTCAAACTCAGAGATCCACCTGCCTCTGCCTTCTGATGTGTTCCACCACCACCTGGCCCAGATTTATTTTTAAATGCAAGTAAAATTCATAAGACATGAATTTAACATGCTCTATTTTTGAGTTTCAGTTCTGATGACACAGGGTATGTTCTGTTGTGAAATCTCTTTGAGGTAAATTTTGGTGTACTGTCCAGTCGGTATCTTTGATGTTTTGATAAATATTTACTTGAAAAAGAGGTGAGGTCATCCAGATAGCTTAGTGAATAAAAGGTACTTCGAAGGACCCACATAATAGAAGGAGATAACTGACTCTCAACAAGTTATTCTCGGAACCCTGCACTCTTCTGCATAGCACATGCCTGTGTGTACACATGCACATACAAAATAAAGAAAACACATTAAAAATGTTACAAAAAAGAAGTGGGTACATGTTCTGACAGGAGTGAGTCAGCATTGTTGTGACCCAGGTTGGAGTCCTGGCCAACCTCTTTCTCACTGTGACCTCAGACAAGTCATTTCCTCCCTCTGAGCTTCCTTATTTGTAAAGGATGATAGTATCAGTCTCAAAAAGCTCACATTCAAGGGCTGGGCAGATGGCTCTGAGGTTAAACAAGAACTGTTATGGCATGGCTGGTTCACAACCATCTGTATGTCCAGCTCCACATGACTGAAGCAAGGTCTGGCTTCTGAGTATACTTACACTCCACACTGCAGGTGCACATACCCATACACAGGTACACATAATTAAAAAAAAAAAATCAAAGCTTACCTCTGAAAAAAGGTTTCCTGAGAGTTCTGTCATAGTCTGGGGAGGGGGATAGGTCCTGAATTCAAAGGGACGTTATGAATTTGTGTGGAAGACTGGGCAGAGATAAATGTACTGGACAAAGAATGACCAGTTGAGCAGACATGCCACTCTTCTCAGGCTGGAAAAATCAGGGAAGGCTTCTCTATGGAGGAAGCACGAGAACACAGAAGATTGTACTAAGTAGAAGGAACACTATAGACAAAGGCAAGGATAACAAGAATCTATAGGGCAGTGCACACATGTATTCCCGGGTCTCGTTATGTGCACACAGGAAGATTTCTTGCCACAATTTGAAGCCAGCCTGGGCTACAGAGTGGACTCTGTGTGTGTGTGTTGCGGGGGCTGCTGGATTCATGGAGTGGGAAGGATAAGGATGACTCCTTGGGCATATAGTGTTGGTAGTCACTAAGTGCCCAGGCTCTGAGGTCCCAAACTTGGTTTAATGCTCTCCTTACTGTCCCTGTCCTGAAACTCCTGCTTTGAAAAAGCGAATATTGTACAAGGTGGTGGTAGCACATGCCTTTAATCTCAGCACTTGGGAGGCCAGATTGGGTCTACAGAGCAAGTTCCAGGACAGCCAGGGCTACACAGACAAACCCTATCTCAAAAAACAAACAAACAAACAACAACAAAACCAAGAAATTATACTCTTGTGTGTGTGAGAGCTGTTGTGTTTGTTATTTTGTTGCCTGAATGTATGTATGTATGTATGTATGTATGTATGTATGTATGTATACCACATGCATACCTGTTGCCTGTGAAGGTCGAAAGAGGGCATTGAATCTTCTGGGATCAGAGATACAGATATTGTTGTGAAACACAGTGTGGGTGCTGGCAATTAAACCCAGGTCCTCTGAAAGAGCAGGAAGAATACTCCTAATCATTGAGCCATGGCTCTAGCTTTTATTTGCATATATGTTTTTGAGATAAAATCTCATATATCCCAGGATATTTTTGAACTTAGTATATATCTGATGATGACCACAGACTCTCGATTCTTCTGCCCTTTGCCCCTGAGCCCTGGAATTATAGGTGTGCTTCATCATGCCTGATTTATGCAGTGTTGTATGGAGATGGAATGTGCTAGGTAAGTACTCTACTACTGGATTACACCCTCAGCTCTATTTTTATTTATTTATTTGTTTGTTTTTGAGACATGGTTTCTTTGTGTAGCCCTGGCTGTCCTGAAATTCACTCTGAAGACCAGGCTGTCTAGAACTCAGAGATATTCTTGCCTTTGCCTCCCAGGTACTAGGATTAAAGGCATGCTCCATGACCGAGAGGTGGGAACCTGCCTTTTTTTTTTTTTTTTTTTTTTTTTTTTAAGATTTATTATTGTGTACAGTGTTCTGTTTGCATGTCTGTCTGCAGGCCAGAAGAGGGCATTGGATCTTATTATAGATGGTTGCAAATCACCATGTGGTTGCTGGAAATTGAACTCAGGACCTCTGAAAGAACAGCCAGTGCTTTCAACCTCTGAGCTATCTCTCCAGCCCCCAGGAACCTGTTTTTAAATACTGCTGTCCCTGGCTACTTTTTCTCTAGGCTTTGATTTCTCACTCCCCAGCAGGAAGTTCTAGGGTTGCCTCCAAATCATCATTTTATACTAAAATTCATTTATTTGTTTTTGTTTTCTTGATTCTGTCGTAGAGGTTAGCTTCCAGCCTTGGTGGGAAACAAAATATAACGGTTCATTTTCAATACAAAAGTCTTTTAGATGGGCTTGGGTTTCAGATAAATAGGAGGCATTGGGTTCCTTGTCCAAACAGCTTGTGCCTTCTTGTGTGGCCTTTTGGCTAACCTTTTCAAACCAAATGTTATCTTGGGATTGGAGATACAGGCAGCTTGCTACATTATGACTAAGATCATACATTGAAAAATGGAGGAAAGGACTTTTGAATAGAATCAAATAAAATAAAAAAAGACAGTTTTTCTCCTAACTCAGCATCCTTGCCATTTTTGTTGGGATTTGACCTTGCAAGGTCATATATAAACTGCTCCCCTTTCACTTTCCATCTCTGGTGCTCATTGTTGTGACATGGCAGTTGCAGTACCCACAACTTCAAAGCAGTCCTGCTCCTTGGAGCTCCCAATGCTACCATTATGCATGTGAGCTCCACATCCAGCTTTATTTATTCTGTCATGCTGGAGTCAGGATCAGGAGCCTTGGCTGGGCGGTGGTAGTGTACACCTTTAATCCCAGCACTTGGAAGGCAGAGGCAGACAGATCTCTTGTGAGTTTGAGGTCAACCAGAGTTAGCTCCAGGACAGCCAAGACTACACAGTGAGGCCCTGTCTTGAAAAAATAAACAACAAAATAAAAATAAAAAAAAAAAAAAGGGAATGCTTCTTGTCAAGTAGGTTCCCTCTACTGCATTTTGGTCTGAGTTGACTTTTGAGCAAAGCCAAAGTGAGACGATGTTCACAGAGATTTCTTTTCAGAGGTCCCTTTATTGGAGGTCAGGGAACATTCAGAGCATCATCTAGGATAGCACCTCCTGAATCTCCAAGGTTCCCCCAGAGGAGTTCTTAATTTTCAGCCTGGAAGAGATAAGAGAATATGAAACTTAGGGTGTATGAATGGTTGGATCTGCCCTCCTTGCTATGGAATCTTGGATATGGGACAGGAGAGGGGCCCAAAGTGGAGGAGTGGATGAAAAGCTGACTGTAGCTGGGTGAACATCCGTAATCCAACACTTGGGAGACTGAGGCCAAAAGATATTGAAAGTTCAAGGTTAACATTGGGCCAAACGTGGTGGCCCATGCTTTTAACAGTTAATCCTAGCATTTAGAAGGCAGAGGCAAGTGGGTCTCTATGAATTTGAGGCTACATAGTGGAAACCCTGTCTCAAAAAAGAAAAAAAAATCCAGGTTATACCAATCCCTATTAAAACAAAATCAAAGCAAACAAAATCAATCTCAAACCTGTCTGTAGGCAAGGGCAGGCAGATAAATAGCTTAATGAAAAGGAGTAGAAAGAAGCAGAGTGGCAAGATGAGTAAAGGCTGGAGGATAAGAAGTTCAAAATCATCTCTCCTGGGCTTATCTTGTCTCAAAATGGGAGCCTTGTCTCAAAATCAAAACAATAGCTGGGGAATGGCTCAATCTGCAAAGGGTTTGCCTTGCAAATGTGAGGATCCCCAGTTTGATGCCCAGAACCCAAATAAAGATGCTGGCCAGAGTGGTAACTTTTAACCCCAGCACTGGGCATCTGGAGACAAGAGGATCTTTGGAGCTGACTAGCCAGCAAGCCTAGCCTAGCCTATTTGGTGAGCTTCAGGCCAATGAGAGACCCTGTCTCAAAAAAGTAGGTGGCTTTCCTGAGGATAACATGGGAAATAGTACTAAATACCATAGACCTCAGAACACACACATTCACACACACACATAGACATGCATTAAGAAAGAAAAAAGAAAAAAAGGAAGTAGCAGTTAGATGTGATATACTCGGACCATGCAATCTCAGCACTTGAGGCAGAGGCCACTGTGAGCTAGTGAGTTCAAGGCTAGTCTGGGCTAGACTTCAAGACTTTGTTTAACAAGGAAACAAAACAAGACACAGGTAATGAGACTGTCCTGGTGTGGACAGTTAGTGCTTGAAGTCAGAGGCTAGGATAAAGCTTTTAGACTGATGGTGCTGGCTGGCTATGTCTAGATTGCTCTAATGTAATAGTCTTCAGGAGTCTTGGCAGGAATCCTACACAACAAAATAAAACCCCAAGAATCTTCAGGAGTCAGAAGCTATCCAGAAACCTTAGGGTCAAGATGAGCAGAGGAAAACAACACATGGGTAGGGACTGGATTGATGTTATATGGTAAAGGGTCCCAGTTTAGGTTAATTATTGTTGTGTAAACAGAAGGGTTCTGAATGGGAGGCTGGAGTGAGTTCTAGGCTGGGTGGCCAGGGATAAGGTAATATAGGCAGAAGGGTTTTATCTTGGGCATCATCATAAATTAATAAAAGATGTCATAGGTTCGGTAGTAAGGACCTAAGACAAATTGCTCCTCAGATGAGAGCTTTATTTGAGTAACATCAGGGCACAAACAATTGTGATAGGGCCCTGAAGAGAGAAACTTGAGTTTCAAAACACCCCAGGAGTTCCTGGCTGAAATATTAGGGGTGAGTGTGGAGCTTGGGAGGTAGGAGTGGGTATTCACACCACGTGGTCTACTGCCAAGAGGCAGGAAAGTAGTCAAGCACTAGATAAGAAGGTTTTGTTAGGTGGGCAGTAGTAGCACACGAATAGCCGTGGATGTCTTTGAGTTCCAGGCCAGGTTGGTTTAGGACAGCTAGGGATACATAGAGAAACCCAGCCTCAGAAAAAAACAAAACAACAAAACAAATGAAAAATCTTCCCTGAAGGAAAGAATTAGGGCCCCGTCATCAAGGTTGGTTAGATGGAAGCTTAAACAAATGGTGGGGGGCAAGGTGGGGGGACAGGACTAACCAACACAGCTGCCAAAAATTGCCCAGAGGGGATTGTCCGCTAGTGAGATGCCAGCACGTCATGTAGGGGGTTGCAGCTTTCATGACTCATCACCCATGCTGAGGTGGCCATTTCCATGGCACAGCTGTTTTTAAGTCATCCCTGATCCTGTAAGGAACCCCTCATCCATACTCCTTTAATTAAGCCGAATAAAAACAACCAAGTTGGACTTTATAGGAATTGTTACTTTGGAAGGCTCTCTACTTGAGGTGTGTTCCCCCGCCCCCGGAAGTCTCTCATAACACTTGGACATGAGTGTCAGAGAGCATCAGAAAGGCAACAGTGCTCTGCTATACAATTTCGGAGAGACTTTCGGTGGGTGTGGCCTGATTTGGGAGAGAGAGCCGCGCAGCTGAAGGTCAGACTGAGATTATAAGTCAGAGGGGTGCCAGCAGAGGTGGTAGCAGTTAGGCAAAAGTCAAGCTGGCTGGGGCAGGGCCAAGGCTAAATAGAGAGGACAGATGATGCCATGGGCAATGACTGAAGGCTGGGCCTGGCTCATGCTTTGAAGGTGCAGGGATGACAGGCTAAATTCAGCACATGGACAGGCAGACTCACCTCTGCGAAGTGAGGCCAGGTGCGCAGCAGGTTGAAGAGCGCATCCCCAGGGCAGTCGCTGTGCACTAGTTGACGGTGGCCCAGCAGCTTGTAGTCTGGCTGCAAGTGGCCTGCGCGAATGGCACAGCTCGGGAGCAAGTCGCGCACCGTGTTCAGTGCCGTGTCTCTGGGCAGTGACCCAGTGTAGTTGCCCACGAAGGCCACGCCGAAGCCGCGGGAGTTATGGCCTCGTGTATGCGCACCCACCCAGTGCCAGCCGCGGCCCTCGTACACATAGCCGTCAGAGCCTACCACGAAACTGCAGAGGGGGTGGGACAGAAGTGTAACAGGATGGTTACGCCCCTTACCTGGCCACGCCCCAGATCCTGTCCCTATGTCACGTGACACCAAGAGCTGTACAGTGCTTCTATTTCATCCAATTCAGTCATTTGAGCACCACGTGCCACTCCAGAAACCGTTCTCTCTTGCAGAATTGTGGGGAATTCCTTAATCATTGTATTCAGAGAAAGAAGCAGGCAGAACTCTGAGTTCGAGGCCAGTTTTCCCCACATAGTGAGCTCCTGGCCCAACTATGAGACTTTGTCTTATTAAAACAAATAAATAAAATCAGCTGATAGACAGTGGCACACACCTTTAATCCCAGCACTCAGGATGCAGAGCAAGTTTGAGGCTAACCTGGTTTACAAAATGAGTTCCAGGACAGCCAGGACTACACAGAGAAACCCTGTCCCTAAAAACAAGCAAAAAACTTTACCTTTTCTGAATCCACCCCTAAGAACTGGCCAAGTCCCCTTTCACCTTTCTCCCCTCCCCATCCCTTACCGGATTCACAGTCCCACCCCAGTCCGGGACCTTGTTTTTCATCTCGACCACATTTTGGTTCTTGACCATGCTCACTATGAACTCCTACTTCTACTTTCCAGTCTCCTCTTGTTTTACTCCCTGCCTTCCAGACTCCCAAAGTGGCCTAGGCCAGGTCCACCTGTAGCCAATGTCATCCCAGTGTCTCTCGTTCTGGTGGAATCGCTGCATGGAGCGCATATTGGCAGCGCAGCTCTGGAAGGTGGTACAAGGTGGCGCTGGCACGTAGGTATGATGCACATATAAGAATCTGAGCGGCAGCTGGAGTGGCGTTGGGTTGCCTCGATAGGGTGCGGCTCCCCAGCGGCAGCGAGGGAGAATGGCTGGGCATCCTTCAGGAGCAAGGGAGATTCTGATCATTAAGCATTTCCTGTTGGAAGACTGAATTTCTATTAAAATAAACCCGTGGGCATCCCTCCAGTCTTGAGGATTTGGCAAGAGTCTAGTTTTAGTTCAGGGAGATGGCTCAGACGGCACACACATGGCAGATAGATAGAAGACAAACAGTCTTGGAATCTGCTATATGTCCCTCCACTTCCAGGAGAAAGCCAAAAAGTGTGAGTATGATGGTGCATCCCTCTTAATTCCAGCATTTGAGAGATTAAGGAAGCAGGCTTGCAAATTCAAGACCAGACTGGGCTATGTAAACAATTTTTTTTTTCCCAATAGAATAGGTTTAAAAAAAAAAAAAAAAAGAGTCTTCATGTGTTGACTTTCAATTGTGTGCTACTGTGTGTGTGTGTGGGGTGGTGGTGGTGTTTAGAGTTTTGGGTCTCATGAAGCCCTGGCTGATGGGAGATGTCATTTTGGATATGTTTCTCTTATTGGTCGATGAATAAAACACAGGGCCATAGGGCAGCAAGATAGGTGGGTTTAGGAGATATGGAGGATTCTGGAAAGTGTAGGCAAAGAACAGTTGCCATGTGATCCCAGGATGAGGGAACTCAAGTGAGGTGTTCTCCAGTAAGAGAAGACCATGTAGAAATACTTACATTAATAGAAATGGGTTAATAATTAAGACAGAGCTAGCCAATAAGAAGCCCTAGTCACTGACCAAGAGTTTCATAATTAATATAGTGTCTGTGTGTTCATTTGGGGCCCAAGGGCCACAGGACATGCTGGGCCAGAAAGCTCTGTAACACCGGGCAATGCTTGACATATATATATATCTTGGTCCTCTGGCCTCTACCTCTTAAGAGATGGATTACCAGCATGTACCTCTACTCACATTTTACTGTAGTGGTAGGGACTGAATGCAGCATTTTATGCATGTACGCTCCCAACCCCTCTTTTAAAAGAATTAAATCAGATAAACTCCTTATTTATTCTTCAAGGACCAACTCTTGCATTTCTTTGACCAGATAGCTGTCCCTATCTACAGACTCTGCTGTCCCCCCTGGGTTTCCTGGGCCTTGGATCCCACTGGGAGTGTATGTTTATGAGGGGCCAGGGGAACTCCTTACCTAGGAAAGTCTCAATGAATTCCTTGGTAGCAAAGGTGGCTACCTGAGCCAGCTCATCTTGGCTCATGTTCTGCAACTGTGGATGTCCTGGCTCTAGCCTCTGCAGCAGGACAAGAGCCTCCCGTACCTGCTGGGCCAGGGTAGGAACTGAAGTCAAAGCAGCCCCGTTCTGCCTTCGGAAGTTACTCCGGAACCTTGGATCTCCAGCCACTCCAGCTCCATAGTACTCTTTCAGCAGGTGGCTGAGGGGTGGCCGGGGCTTAGAGACCCGGCTCAAGTGGTCCCCAAGCAGAGCTCCATCCAAGGCACCATTGAGGAAAGCCATGGTGAGCCTGGATGCCTTGGGGTCCAACAGTGTGAAGACCCTGTGGGCAGAAAGCGGGTTCCAGCAACCCTCAGTTCCCAGGCCTGGAGGACTTGGAGTCTGGGAACTATTGAGGAACATTAGACTTAGGTCTCTGGCCAAGGTGATTGCCAGGAGTCTGTCCACAGTAGTGGGAGTCTTGGCTTTGTCATTTGGTAAAGTGGCTCCAACATCTGTAAGAGAGGCATTTGTGGAGGCATCCATGAGTCCTGGAGCGATGGCTCCAATATTTGTCAAGATGTCTCCAGCATTACAAGGCGTGGCCAGACACTCTGAAGACAAATTGGCGACAGTGTGCTCTTGCAAGCTGGCCTCTAGCCCAACCAGTAGAGGCTTCACAGCTACAGTGGAGCCATCAGGTGCCAGCACCACTCCGTATTCCTGCCCATCTTGTACATCATGTCGGGCCACCTCGGAAATCAGGGCCTGAAGCTCTGGGCTCAGTGAGTGGGGATCTGGCTCCAGAGTGTTGTGGCTCGGTGCTATCTGCAGCAAGTGCTGATGAAGAGAATTGTGGGGGCTGGAATTACCAGCTGACAGAATCCATGCAGAGGCAGTGCCACTGGCCTCAGTCACCAGCATCTTTTGCTCAAGCTCAGCAAGGGCCTGGATGATGGAGTCCATGACCAGGGGTAAGGAGGAGGCTGTAGGAGGGAAGAATGCATCAGCTCAGCAACCCAGGTTCACTTGTTCCTGAACCTCTCCCTGTTCAGGTCACATTTTCCTAATGTCCCTGCCTCTCCATCTGTCACCACTGTGGCCAGCACTACTGTTGCATAGAGGAGGAAACTGAGGCACCCAGACTATGGCCTGTTGGTGAAGGAGGTTGAACTGTCTGTGAACACTGGGGAGCCATGGCAAGATTATGAGCAGGAGAGAGGCCTGGTCAGGTTGGCGTTTGTGGTGGTTTAAGCAGGAATATCCCTCATAGGCTTACATATTTGAATGCTTGGTCTTTAGGGAGTGGTGCTACTTGAGAGGGATTAGGCGGTGTGGACTTGTTAGAATAAGTATGGCCCTGATGGAGGAAGAGTGTTACAGGGAGTAGGCTTTGGGGTTTCAGAAGCCCCCGCCAGGCCCGGCGGCGGCTTTCTCTCTTCTTCCTGCTGCCTGTGGATCTTAATGTAGAACTCTCAGCAACTCCAGCATGGTGTGCCACCATGCTTTCCACCATCCTAATAATGGACTAAACCTCTGGAACTGTAAGCCAGCTCCAATTAAATGCTTTCCTTTATAAGAGTTGTTGTGGCCATGGTACTTATTCATAACAATAGACTAAAACATCATTCTAAGATTGTTGTTTGGGCTACTACATGGAAATGTATTTTCAAGGTGCTGGGATAACCAAGGGCAGACAGCAGAGAGGTAAGGGAGTAATATGACTGGTGCTATAGTGTTGGCAATGAACAAAAGCATGGAGAATTTCTATGTATGTAGGGGCTGGAGAGATGGCTCAGAAGTTAAGAGAACCTGGGTTTAATGCCCAGCACCTACATAGCAGCTCACACCCATCTGTAACTCCAGTTTCAGGGTTTCTGATACCCTTACATAGACACACATGCATCCAAAGCATCAATGTACATACATAAAATAAAAATAAATTATTTAAAAATTATTATTCTTTTAAGTTTATTTTTAATTGTGTGTGTTGGGGTACTTGCATGCGGAGGCCAGAGGTTTTAGATATACTGAAACTGGAGTTACTGGTAGCTGTGCATTATCCAGTGTGGGTGCTGCATGGGTCTTCTGCAGCAGTGTTACACTGTCTTAACCACTGAGCAATCTCTCCAGCTCAGACAGTTTTTGCTGACAGATTAGAGTTGGACTGTTTTAGAAGGAAAAGTATATTGAAGGATGTCCAAGGGTAATGTAGCAGTTTTCTCTAATTAGAGGCTTCTTACTAAGGCTCAGGAAATAACACAACTTAGAAGTCTCAGGAAACTCCTAAAACCTACAAAATTTAAGGGGCTCCTCTCCCAAGGTTATATAAACAATAGCAACTGTAGGGAAAAAGGGCCCCTCCCACCAGCCAAGCTGCCTGCAGGTTCAGTAGGAAGCTACAGGAATGCAACTTTTGTGAGAAGTCATTAATGCTAGGGACAGGCTTTTTGGTGATGCAGCTGCATTTGAGTCACCCATATTCCTATAAGAAACCCCAATAAACTCAATGTTTTTTTTTTGACCTAGATTTAAATGGAATAATGTCTTTGGTCCACCATTCATACCCTACTGGTGGCATAAGATGTTAATTTTCACTTCAGAAGTAGTCACATGACACCAAGGAAGCTGAGTATGATGGCTCATGCCTATTATCCAGCACTCAAAAATGCTGAGGCAGGAGGACTACCAAAAGTTCAAGACTTGAACTACACAGTCCCAACCCATCCTGCCTACCAAGTGAGACCTTGTGTCAGGCAAACAGACACACAGATGGATGGACAGACAAACAACTCAAGGGGAGGAGGAGAATGGGTTTTCCCTTTTCAAAGAAAAGGAATCCAGATGTTAGGTTACCAGGTCCACTGGGGACCTAGGGGTTGTTAAATAATTGCCAGTATTTAAACATTTATTATGTGCCAGAGATCACTCCAAGTGACAAATATAACTTATTCAGTCTTCACCAAACATTATAGGGAATGTCTCATTAGCTTCCTGTCACAGGGAAGCATCTGAAATGGGGAGGACATGTTAGCTGCATCAGGTTACAGAGCTAGGAAGTGCAGGAGATACAGTTTGAATCTAGGAAGGTAAATTGTTTTGTTTGTTGCAGGGGCTTGCTATATAGTGCAGGCTGGCCTGTAACTCATTATATACCCCAGGCTAACCTCAAACTCATGGTTCTCTTGCTTTAGTCTCTCATGTTCTGGGGATACAGACAAGTGTTTCCACACCCAGAGGCTCCATGTCATTTCAATCACTATATCCTAGTGATTGGAATCTATGCTCCTCCTTGGTCAATCCATTCTGTAACTTTGTTTTTTTTCTGCTTAAATTATCCCATCTTTTCTGCTTCTCAATCAAACCCAGCTCTCTCTCCTCCCATCTTAGTTGTGTGAGTCCCTTCTTCAGGAAGCCACCCTTAATTTTGCCCCCAATTCTCCTCTCTGGCACCCTTTCCTTGACTCTACAAGAGCTGGAAACGTGTGGTGTCCTAATGGCAGTTTACTGAGATCTGGAGCCTTGCCTGGCCAATGTTCAGCAAAGCAAGCACCCCTCCCCTACCAGGGCTCTGCCTTTGGACTCACCTGTCCCTGTCTCTGGCCACAGTAGCAATGGAAGCAGGATCCAGAAGACACCCCTGGCCTTCATCATTGTGGGGTCCAGTTCCAGGGCAGAGGCCAACAGAGAAGCTCAGAGGAGCTGGGAGGAGAGGAGAGTGAGAATTGACCTGTTTTATCAAAGTGCAGCAGGACAACACGCTCACCACAGTGGACTGAGTGTGGGAGTAGAGTGTCTGGGTCAAGGTTATTTGGGTCTCAAAGTCTCCCCCATCCTGTTCTGTCCCCGCCCAGAGTGACATGATGGGTCAGGAAGAAAGATCTGTGATGTGCCAAGAGAAGCCTGCAGACTAGGAAGTTCAAACTCTAGAAACTTTGGGGTCCCCTTAAAAAAGATAATTATTTTTTTCCAGTGCTGGAGATTAAATCTAGGGCCTTATGTATGCTAGGCAAGCACTGTATCTTTGAACCATATCCCCTGCCACCCCCCTTTACATTTTATCTTAAAAGGGTTTAGTTAGTTCAAGGCCAACCTTATCTACATAGTGAGTCTCAAGGCAGCCAGGGCTATGTAGAGAGACCCTGTCTCAAAACAACAACAAAACCAACAACAACAACAATAAAAACCCACTCCTATGTTTAAGCATATGCCTTTAGTGGCATATGCCTTTAATCCCAGCAGAGAAAGGTGGGTCTTCAAGTTTAAGACCATCCTAGTCTACAGAGTGAGTTCCAGGACAGCCAGGGCTACACAGAGAAACCCTGTCTTGAAAAAGAACCCAAATATATAAATATACTTGTAAATTTAAATTTGAATGTGTTATTATTGTATGTGTGAGTAGAGTGTGTGTCCATGAGATGAGTGTGGATATGTGCACATACCATGGTGTGCAAGAGGACAGCTTTGGGGAGTCAGTCTTGCCTTCCGCTTCAATATCTAGAGATAGAACTCAAGCTGTCAGGCTTGCACCAAAAAAAAAAAAAAAAAAAAAAAAAAAAAAAACAAAACAAAAACCTTTACCCACCAAAACATCTTGTTAACTTGTATTTGTATGTATGTGGGTTTTTGTTCATTTGTTTGTTTGTTTCTTTTTTAAGACAGGTTATCACTATGTAGCCCTGGATGGCCTGGAACTCAGAGATTCACCTGCCTTTGCCTCTGGAGCACTGGATTCAAAGTTGTGCACAGCTGCCACCACCACCACTGGGCTGTCTGTGGGGTTTTGAATCAGACAGCAATGCTTATGAAAGACAAAGAAGGCATTGGATCCCTTGGAGCTGGGGTTGCAAGCTGTTGTGAGCTATTTGATGTGGGTACTGGGATCTGGATTCAGGTCCCCTGCAAACAAGTCAGTGCTCTTAACTACTGAGCCTTCTCTCCAGCCCCAAATCACGGTTACATGTAGTTTTCTCTGCCAGCCTAGTCCCAGAGCCACATCAGCCCCAAATAACACACAGAGACACTGTATTAGATATAAAACTGTTGGCCTGTTACTAGAATTTCTTATCAGCTAGCTGTGTCTTAAATATTAACCCATTTCTATTAATCTAAGTGTTTCCATATGGTCTTATCTTACTGGAGAGAGGGTTTTGATCTCTTCCCTCAAGTCTTTACATCTTAAATCTCCTCACAATATCTTCCAGAATCCTCCTTGTTTCCTAGTCCCACCTATCTTGCCTTCCTATTTGCCAACAGTGCTTTATTCATTAACCAATAAGAGAAACATATTTACAGAATGACATCTCCCATCAATTCATCTTTTTTTCCTTTGAGATAGTATCTCAGTAGCTCATCTGGTTTTGAGTTCCTATTCCTCCCTTTCCACTGCCCCACATTACTGGGATTAAAGGTGTGTGCCATCATACTGGTATCTTTTTATATCTTATTTTGAGACAGGGTGTTGCTATGTAACCTAGGCTTGCCTCAAACTCAGGGTCCTCCTACCTGAGACTCCTGAGTGTTGGGATTATAGACATGTACTGCTACACCCAGTTTAAGTTCTGTACATTCTTGGGAGTGATGCTTTGACATCACTCTTAGTACACTCTGTCCTGTCTCAAAAGTGACAGCTCTGTAGAAGAATCTCTCTGTTGCCTGGTAAGACAGACTGAGCTGGGCAAGGTGGACACTTATTTCTGTTATCTGAGATTTTCCCCTTCATTTCTCATTCCCTTTCTTCTTTCTTTTCTTTCTTTTTGCTTTCTTTCTTTCTTTCTTTTTTTCTTTCTTTCTTTCCTTCTTCTTCCTCTTTCTCTCTCTCTCTCTCTCCCTTAGAGGCCTTGCTATGTAGCTCAAGAACTTACTATGTAGACCTGGCTGCCCTCAAACACAAAGTTTCTACCTCCTGAGTACTAGAATTAGAGGCACAAACCATCACACCCAGAGATATGAACAGTTTTGAAGGAAGAAAGACAACTTTTGGCTTACAGGTTTGGTCGTTGTAATCCTTATTCAGTTGGCCTGACTGCTCTGCATCTGTGAGGAGAGAGGAATGTATGGTGGAGGAAGCTACTTACCTTATAGAAGCTGAGATGCAAGAACGGAGAGAAAGGAAGGGGCAGGGTCCCTCTAAGTGACTTCCTCCCACTAGCTCACTTGTCTTAAAGCACAACACATGCTGAGCACCCAGCCTTGAACATGTGGGACTTCTGGGAACTTTTCACATCCACATTTTAGCAAGCAGAGAGAGGAAGCCTGTGGTTAGTGCCACGCCTACCTCCTGTGCCACACCCCACACTCACACAGGATGCTGGAGAGCTTGGGGTCTTCCTCTTCTTCCTCCTCTGCTTTTAATGCACCACCCCTACCCCTGTGTGTATGCACAAGTGCCATAGTGCATGTGTGGCAGAGGACTGGAAATGGATTCTCTCCTACTATGTGGGTCCCAGTGGTGAAATGCAGGTCATCAGGCTTAGGGACAAGTGCCTTTAGCCTTTGAACCATTTCACTGGCCCCACTTTTTAAAAAATCTGAGTGTATAAGTCCATGAATCGTGTGTGTGTGTGTGTGTGTGTGTGTGTTTGTATGTGTGTGTGTTCATGTGTACTTACATGTGTGGTGTATGCACATGAGTGCACACCCCATGTGTGCACATTCCCAGGTGAGAGGAAAATATCAGTATTTTCCTCTATTCGTGTCTGCATTATTGCCTTTCGACAGGGTCTCTCCCTGAACCAGAATGTCATTGTAAGTGTTTGGCTGCAAGCTCCCAGGACCTGCTATCCATCCCTGCTTCAAATGCTGGGTTTACTGGCTTTTTAATATGGTGAAAGGAAGTTCTAACTCTGCCTCTCATGCACGAGTGCTCTGACCCATGGAGCCATCTTCCCAGTCTCCGGTGTTTTGTTTCTTGAGAAAGGGTCTGGCTTTGAACATAAAGCTTTCGATAGAATTACAGAAATGAACTACATGCCTGGTCCTCGAAGGTTGCTTCCTCCCAGCCCAGGTCCAGTCCCTGATTAAACAAAAAGCAGGGCTCTGGTTTCATCCTAGGGACCCACCTGGGTTGGTAGTGTGGGATCTGTCCTCTCCTCTGGGTGCTGACGTCTGAGACCTGCTGAATGCTCCTGTCTCTCTTCACTTCTTCCCCTTCCAGGCTGTCCTAGAACCTCTTACATAGCCTAGGTTGGTCTGGATCTAGGTTGAACCTCCTGCTTCCTCCTAAATACTGGGATCCCAGACCAGATCCAGCTCCCCTTTATTCTGGTGGGGGCGGGCTCCCCAAGGCTGGGCTTCCTTTTGGCTTCCCACCCTCTAACCAGCTTTACAACTAAGAGGCGCCCCCACCAGGCTAGGGACTCATCCTGAGGCAGGTCCCAGGCCATGGGGAAGCCCGGACTGAGCCAGACTTGGAATTCCCCAGGGACTCACCCCAGGGCCTGGTCACCTACCAGGTATTCTTATTCATGTTTGCTAGTGAGTGTTCTCTCTCTTGCACTCCCCAGCCCCACCAGGGTGTCATGTAGCTCAGGCTATGTAATTCCCTATGTAGCTAATAGTGACCTTGAATTTATGGCCTTCAGCATCCAAATGCTAGGATTATAGGTATGATCTACCACAGCTAGTTTACGTGGTGTTGGGGATCAAACCTAGGGATTCCTTCATGCTAGGCCATCTCTCTATCAACTGAGCTGCACCTTCAGGTCCAGTTATTCTCTCTAGTGAGCTATGATCACCCTGGACAAAGCAAGGGACACACAGAAAGGGCTCAGAAGGCAGATCACCGAGGTGTGGAATTGAGTGGGCTCTGCTTCTCAGGGCCTTTAAGCCCAGGTTTCCAGAGATTTAGAAGTGGGAGGCTTTGGCCCGCTGATGTATCTGAGTGGAGTCAGAGATGAATCAGCAGGTTAAGGCACTTGTTAACAAACCAGAGGGCCTGAGTTCAATCCCTGGGACCCACAAGATAGAAGGAGAGTACAGCCTTCTCAAGGCTGCCCTCTGACCTCCATATGAGTCATAACATGTGTCCCTACCTCCACAAAATAAATGTATATATAGTCAAATACATGTAACTTCAAAACAAAGTATGTAGGCTTCTCCCAGGGCAGACCCTAGGGTGAAGCTTTTGCTTTGGTAGCTCTGATTAACACCAGTTACCAAGACTAATTGATTTATTTTACATTTTATTTATTTATTTTTTTTGTGTGACCCTGCCCACCAAGTACTAGATTAAAGGTGTACCCCATTACACCTGGTTCTTCCTGGTTTCTTGAGATAGGGTCTTATTATAGAGCACTGACTAGCCAGCCTGGTATTTGATACATAGCCTAGACTGGTTTGCTCATGGCAACCGTCCTTCATAAACCTCTTTTTTTGACTTTTTGAGACAGGGTTTCTTTGTATTGTTTTGGAGCCTGTCCTGGAACTAGCTCTGTAGATGAGGCTGGTCTTGAACTCAAAGAGATCTGCCTGCCTTTGTTTCCCAAGTGCTGGCATTAAAGGCGTGCATCACCAACAACTAGCCTTCATAAACCTTTTGAGTGCTAGAACTACTGGCATTCACCAAAATACTTAGGTTTATCTTCGTTTCCTCCCTTCATCTCTCTCTCCTTTTCTCCCTCTATCTCTCTTACAATATGTACTGGGAATTGAACTCAGGGTCTTGCACATGCTAAGCAACTGATCTATCATTGAGCTATGTTCTCAGCCCTTTTAATTAAAAACAAGTTTTAGTTAGGTGTGGTGGCACAAGTTTAATACTAGCACTCAGAAGGCATATGCTCTGCTATGAGTTCAAGGCCAGCCTAGTCTGCATAGTGAGTTTCAAGACAGCCAGGGCTACACAGTGAGAACTTCTTTCAAAAAACTTGTGTGTATGTGTGTGCATATATATATGTGTATCTTGATGTATATGTTCATATGGGTGTGGACATGAGTGTGTAGATGCACATGCAAGTGTGTGTTCCTGCATGTAGAGGTCAGAGGCTGACATAAATTATTCCTCAATTGCTCTCAAATTACTTTTTGAGATAGTGTTTCTCAGTGAACTTACAATTTGTAGAGTCAGCCAGGCTGGCTAGCCAAGGAGCTCCAAAGATATGCCTGTCTCTGCTCCCCTAGTTTCGGAATTACAGACAGGAGTCATCATGTCTAACTTTTAGAATGATGCTAAGGTTCTTATGATTTTGTGGTAGAGACTTTACTGACTAAACCATTTTCCCAGTGCTTTCTCTTTCCCTCTCTCTCTCTTTCTTTCTCTCCCCCCCTCTCTCATATTGAGATAGGACTTTACTGGGTTGACCAGGCAGACTTGAACTCATTCTGTAGCCTAGACAGCCCTTGAACTGTCAGTCTTCTGAGTCAGCCTCCTTAGTAGCTGGAGTTAATGACATGAAACATTAGATCCGACTTTTTTGCTTTCTTTGTCTTTGCACACCTCACATAGCTCAGCCTGCAGGCCTGTCCTCTTCTCTTTTCTCTTTTCTTTAATATTTTTATGTATGCTATTTATTTTGCCATGGTGTGTGTGTGTGTGCGTGTGTGTGTGCGCGTATGTGTGTATACATGAGTGCATATAGGTTAGAGGACATCTTGTGGGAGTTGATTCTTTCATTTCACTAGGTGAATCCTGGTCAAACACAGGTAGTCAGGCTTGGTGACAAGCACCATTATCTACTGAGCCATTTTACTGTCTTTAGGCCTATACTTCCATATCTTATCTCTGATCAGCTCTGTTGCCCTAAGATAAGGACATGACTAGTTCTGGAGTGCCTAGGGAACAAGTAGGTACCAGGGATTGTTTGTTGAGTATGTGAAAACTTAAGTAAGAAAGGCTTCAGGGACAGGTTAGGCTGGGCTCTGAAACACACGGGCACACATGCCCACACATCAGATACCCACTCACCAACGTATATGGGCTGGGCCAGGCCTGGGTGGCAGCAGAAAAGCTGGAGATTCCATGATGAATCACCCTATCCAGCAAGCTGCCCTCCTAATTCATGAGGCTTGCCCTAAGGAGAGGTCAGCTCCTCCAGGCTGTTAGTAAGACAGGGTTTCAGGAGAAATAACCCTGATCAGAGCCTGGAGCACTAGCAAAGATTAGCAGAGCCTTGAGGCCCTCAGAAGGACCAGAGTCAGAGAAGGAACTTGAAGCAGGGCTAAACTTGGGGTCACAGTCATAATTAAAAGCATCCATTGTGGGGCTTATGAGGTGGTGCCTACTGCCAAACCTGAGTTATATCTCCAGGATGTAGGGGTTAGAAGGGGAGACTTGCATGTATACTATAGGGAACCTGCAAACACACACACACACACACACACACACACACACACACACACACACACACACACACACACACACAAAGAAAAAGGAAAGAAGGCTAGGGATGTAGCTTAGTGGTAGAGTGTTTGCTTAGCATATGCAAGGCTCTGGGTCCACTCCCCAGCCCTACAAATTCTGCCTCCTAGAAACAAATCAAGTTAAATCCCACTATGTTAACAGCCATGGTAACCACTTCATATCCCTTGACAATAATAATGAAGGCATCCAGGTTGAGTGTGTGGATGTCCCTCAGAACTAATGTGGAGGTCAAAGGACAACCTGTGTGAGTTAGTTCTCTCCTTCACAATGTGGGTTTGTCCCAGGGATTGAACTCGGGCTATTAGGCTTCGCAGCGAGGACCAGCTCAAGATTTTCAATTTGATTTTGTTTGTTTGGTTTTGCTTTTCAAAACAGGTTTCTCTGTGTATCCCTGGCTGTCCTGGAACTCACTCTGTAGATGAGGCTGATCTTGAACTCATAGAGATCCACCTGCCTCTGCCTCCCTGAGTGCTGGGATTAAAGGTGTACATCACCAGCACCCCGATGATTTTTTTTTTCTAAGTTGGGATAAGGATTCACTATGGAGACCAGGCTGGCCTTGAACTCATAGAGATCCATCTGTCTCTGCTCCAGACTGGTAGGATTAAAGTGTATGCCATCACACTCAGTCCTGGGTTGAATTTTTTTTCCTAGATTTACTTATTTATATTTT